ATTTGAACGTCTGGTAGAATTTACCTATGAAGCCATCTGGTCCTGGACTTTAGTTTGTTGGGTTTTTTTATCACAGATTCAATTTCATTGCTGGTAATCTGTCTCCAAATTTTCTTTTTCTTCCTAATTCAGTTTTGGAAGGTTATGTTTCTAGGAAGTTACCCATTTTTTCTAGGTTGTCCAATTTGTTGGCAAATAATTTCTTATAATATTTTCTTATAATCCTTTGTATTTCTGTGGTGTTGGTTGTTATTTCTCTTCCTTAATTTCTGATAGTATTTATTTGAGTCCTCTCTTTCTTTCTTTCTTTTTTTTTTTTTTTTTGATGAGTCTGGGTAAGATATATCAATTTTGTTGATGTTTTCAAAGAACCAGCTCCTGGTTTCATTGATCCATTCTGTTGTTCTCTTGGTCTCTATATCATTTGTTTCTGCTCTCATCTTTATTATTTCCTTCCTTCTGTTGGCTTTGGGTTTTGTTCTTCCTCTAGCTTCTTTAGGCATAAGGTTAGATTATTTGAGATTTTTCTTGTTTCTTGAGGTAGGCCTGTATTGCTGTAATCATCCCTCTTAGATGATGATAGAACAGCTTATGCTTCACAATGCCCTCCTGTTTTGTTCTTTCCTGAGATTGCTGTGGCTATTTAAGGACTTTTGTGGTTTCATACAAATGTTAGAGTTGTTTGCTGTATTTCTGTGAAAAATGCCACTAGAATTTTGATAGGCATTGCATTGAATCTGTACATTGCTTTGGGTAGTATGGATGTTTAAAAAATATTCTTCCAACCCGTGAGCACAGAATATCATTCCATTTATTTGTGTCTTCTTCAGTTTCTTTCATCAGTGTCTTACAGCTTCCAGTGTACAGCTCTTTCACCTCCTTGGTTAAATTTATTCCTAGGTAATTTATTCTTTTTGATTCAGTTGTTAATAGGATTGGTTTCTGAATTTTTTTTTTTTGCTAGTTCATTATTAGTGTCTAAAGTGCCACTGATTTTTGTAGATTGATTTTGTATCCTGCAACCTTACTGAATTTGTTTGTTATTTCTAATAGTTTTTTGGTTGAGTCTTTAGAAACCTATTTTTCAGTATATCTGGAAGGAAAATTTTTTTCAAAGGCCAAAATCTGCCACGCACTTCTCTTCTGCAAGAAAAGGAGAAATGCGTGTAAACTAAAGCAGTTCCTCAGAAGCTGCTTAGACATGGATTAGAAGCAGAGAGAGGATTGGCAGTGGAATGAGATCAAAAAGTAGTTTGCAACCATAAGCTGTGGGATTTTCACATGCCACGTGGTCATCTTTATCTTTATTATTTATTTATTAAGTTTTAGAAAAATCTTGTTTGGCAGTGAGATGAAGAAACCAGGGATAAACCATTGGAATAGGCTTGGGATTTTTTTTCTCATATTTTAAGTTTTTATTATGAAAATCTTTAAACATACCAAAAGTATAAGATTATAAACAAATATTACGTACTTACCATACACCTTCAACTCCCGTTTTTCGTAAACACTCCTACCCACTTCTTCCCACTGGATGATTTGGAAGCAAATCACAGATAAGTTATTATTTCCATAAATGTCTTAGTATATTATCTCTAGAGATAGACTTTAAAAAACCATAACCACAAAACTGTCATCACAGTTAGAAAAATTAATGATTCTTTCCAATATTTAGTGTTCAGAATTTCCCAACTTTTTTTATTATTATATTTTAATTCCAGTGTACTTAACCTACAGTGTTGTATTAGTTTCAGGTGTACCATATAGTGACTCAGCACTTCCACATATTTCTCAGTGCTCACCATTAAGACATCCCTGTCATGGTCCAGTGGAGTCCGAATTGAAGCAGTGGGTAGAATTAATGATGAGAAAGGGATAGATTTCAGATATTTTTCATGAAGACTTTGTCAGTCAAGAACAAATTAAATTATGTCTCATGTAATCCATTTCTCAAAGGTTTATTTTGATTTTCTACCAAAAATTAGGCAGTGATATTTGGCACTTAATGGTTTGTTTTAGTTATTTTATGATTTTCCTTTTGTGCATCAACCTTGTTTTCTGATGATGTCAGGTAAATGAGGCATTTCGGTTAAATGTGATTTTGCTCTTCTACAGCTTTTAATCGTTCCAGAAGACATTTTGAAATGGATGAAATAGACTATCTGAAGACTTTTTGGTATCAGTTTGTTTTTATTAGGAAACTGAGGCACAGGGATTTAAATAGCTTGTTACTGGTATCATGCAGGTTTTGGAATCAATGTCCGATATGTCTGGTTACTACATTTGCCTCATTCCTGTTGCTAAAAGTACCTACTATTAATATTTTTCTGTGAAAAAGTGGGGGTGAAGTGGGATATCAGTGCCAATTTTACATAAGCATTTAAATTATTCTCCAAATTCAGACTCATTTAGAGTTAGTTCCAGCAATAGGTACAACTTTCATTGTATAGTTCTGTGTGTCTGAGAAAAAAATGTTCCTGGGCCATGAGTTTAAAAAAATTAACGTGCTAACCAGCATTTCCAGTGATCTGCTTATCACTAATTCCCCGTCCTGAACTGGTGTTACAAATAAAAGATCAGAATTTAGTCTCAGATGAGCTACATGGAGCTGTGGTGCTAATAGAACAGTGATGAAGAATGGAGTTAAATTGCCAGGAATTAAATCTAGCTGTTTGCCTTAGGGGAAGTTACTGAATTCTCTTTGCCTCTTTCCTTACTTGTTTAATAAGGAGCCTGACCCCACCTACTTCTCAGGGTTGTGAGCATTAAATGATACTCTACATGCAAAGCATTAAACTGATACTCTATACGTAGTATTTAGTACTTTATAGGTGTGCAATAAATATGGTCTATTATAAGCAAGCTTAGTCAAGGAAAATTTGGATTTACATTAGAGATAAATTCCTGCCTAGGGAATTTATGACCGTCTGGGTGGCACAGTCGGTTAGGTGGTCAGCTCTTGGTTTCAGCTCAGTTCATGATCTCACAGCCCTGGAATCAAGCCCCCACTCAGCGGGGAGTCTGCTTGGGATTCTCTCTCCCTCTCCCTTCCCCTCCCACTTGTGCTCTCTCTCTCTCTCTAAAATAAATAACAACAACAACAAAAGATAAATTCCTGCCTTTAAAGAAGAATTCGTTTTAGTACAGGATTCACAGTAGGCTAAAATAACATCTCTACTTCATTTAGGTTAAATTTTTTTTTAGAAACGTGTCTGTTGTGGGGCGCCTGGGTGGCTCAGTTGGTTAAGCGACTGCCTTCGGCTCAGGTCATGATCCTGGAGTCCCAGGATCGAGTCCCGTATCGGGCTCCCTGCTCGGCAGGGAGTCTGCTTCTCCCTCTGACCCTCCTCCCTCTCATGCTCTCTGTCTATCATTCTCTCTCTCTCAAATAAATAAATAAAATCTTTAAAAAAAAAAGAAACGTGTCTGTTGTGGAAAATAAGGTATCTACACCAAAATTCATATTTTCCTAGAATTGTTACAATGTAATATCCTTCAGGTATCCTATTAGAAGACTCTGTCTCCCAGATTTTCTTTTTATTATTTTAATTGGTCCTTTGAAAAAATATCAACATATTTTTGTTGTCTATTGGCTGAATACATGGATCTTATGGCATATAAAAGGATTGCACTTAATGTAGTAAAGATCTCTGGCCTTCAATTATTTATTTTTGGAAACATTTTGGATCAGTTCCCATGGTTGGAGAAAGAGGTGAAAGGGACCCCTCATCAGAGCTGTATATAAGCTTGTAGCACTCCAGCTTTGAAACTGGTGATAGAAAACAAAGTATCTTTCCTTTCTGTCTTCTAAGGACAATTTTTTTTTTAATGTAATCCTGCCCATTAGACCTTATGGCAGTAAAAAATGAGCCGTTCATATGAATTGTCACTTGATTTATTTGTGTGTGTGTGTGTGTGTGTGTGTGTCCACCTCCCTGGAAATGTTGCTTCCCTCTTTCATTCTTTGGGATATTTAATAAGTGATACGAGGTTTGCTGGCTGTAGAATTTATTGGTATTAATCAGGGTTCTGGTACTTTCTAGCATAGTAGTCTTTCAGCTTTATTTCCCAATCTTACTGATTTTTTTTTAAGAGAAAGAGCAAGAGCCGGAGTGGGGGGTGCAGAGGGAGAGGAAGAAAGAGAATCCCACCAGGCTCCATGCCCAGCACAGAGCCCAACATGGGGCTCCATCTCACGACCCTGAAATCATGACCTGAGCTGAAATCAAGAGTCGGCCGCTCAACCGAGCCACCCAGGTGCCCCCTGTAACATTAATGTAGGCCTTCACCTTTGAAAGCACATATTTGTGTGGTGGTTATAGTTGCTCTTGGTTGCCAGTGAGTGCCTACTATTTTGGTATCAAACCAGGACCTTTATACACATTATCTCATTTTTACAACGGCCACTTCTATGAGAAGTGTTACTATACCCATTTGTAGTTTAGGAAACTGAGGCTCAAGAAGTTAACTTTTCAGGGTGGCTGGCTCAGTCAATAGAGCATGAGACTCTTGATCTCAGGGTTCAGGGTTCTCAGGGTTCAAGCCCCATGTTGGGGATAGAAATTACTTAAAATTTCTTTTTAAATCTTTAATTAAAAAAAAAAGAGAAGTTAAAGAACTTCTATAGGTCATAAAAGGAACCAGGATTCTGCTCATGGCCTAATGGACTCATACTGCCTACTATTGCATGGTTTATGCCGTGCTGCCTTTTCAAGCTCATTCTCACCATAAACATCTTGTTAGTTTTGAAGAATTTATGTACTTATGTGAGCATAAATATATACATATGTGGGGAAGACAAAAAGACTCTATGCCAAAAATGTTAGCAGTGGTTATCTGGATGGTACATCTGTGGGTGATTTTTAAAATATTTTTTCTTTGTATTTCTTTGTATTTTCTATACACATGAACATGTATTATTTTGTAATAAACATTTTTATGTTACATATTGAACAGTAATTGAGACATGACGTTTCTAATTTATTGTTGCTTATTTCTAGATCAATTGGCCTTATTTCCTCAGTGGAAATCTCGTCACTATGATGTGGTAGTTGGTGTGTTGTCAGCTCGCAATAACCATGAACTTCGAAATGTGATAAGAAGCACCTGGCTGAAGCATTTAATACAACATCCGTCATTAAGTCAACGGTAGGTTTTCTTAGTTGGCACCTGCCTGATTAACTGAGTAAAAGTTCTGAAAAACCTCTTTTGGGATAGTCAGAGATGTTAATTTAGGCATGCGGCCTCTCTTCCTGGGAGAAATGGCTATTTCATTTTGCTTTCCCTCCACATAGTTGAGTCACAAAAGTAAATTTAACCAAGGTTCTTAGCCGAAAGGTAGTTAGGGGAGAATATATTCATTGGTTAACATATTAGTATTTATAGATACCTAGTTTGTTTTGTTTTTGCTTTGATTTAGAATAGTAATTCCTTTTTTTTTTTTTGAGAGAGAGAGAGAGCAAGAGTGAGCGGGGGGAGGGGCAGAGGGAGAGGGAGAGAGAATCTTAAGCAGGTTCCACGCCCAGCTTGGAGCCCAGTGCAGGGCTGGATCTCACAACCCTGAGGTCATGACCTGAGCTGAAATCAAGGGTTGGACACTTAACCAACTGAGCCACCCAGGTGCCCCTAGAATAGTAATTCTTAAAGGGTTCTAGTCCAGAATAGGTCTCTGCTTAGACATGTTTGTGTCTAAATATGCTTTTCACTAACTTCACAGAGGCACACTGCATTTTTTCTGTTCTCTATATATTTTTTTAAGTACACACTGTGTGTAGCTCTTTTTCCTGACTGCCCTTCAAGGACTGAGCTTTGGTAGCACATCTTATGTTGATATTAAATGGCTCAGTTATTGGTTAAGAGCCCAGGGCCTTAGTCTTCTCAGTGAGACCAGCCTCTGAAGATTACGTAGTGAGGGGCTAGGGAAGAGAAGCATGGGAGGTTGAACTTTCAGTTATGTGAGGACACTCCGGTGATGAGCAGTTCTAGATGGCCCTCTCAGGATTGCATTAAACTGGCATGTTTGGGACTGAGTAGCTATACAATTGCAGAATTTTCTTGTCATAAGTAGTGAACATTTATAGATTTCCTATCTTATTCATAGTGGCTTTCATTCCTTTTCAAGACAGATTTCTTTAGTTCATGAGCTCAGTGATAATAGTACCTATTACCCAGCAAATGAAAGGCCTCAGACTAATCACTGCTGTCAGAACCTCCTCCAAAACCTGCACTTCCTAGGTAGCCTTTCCTGTCTCGGAAAATAATGAGCCCTCTCTACCAGTTGTTCAGACAGAAAATCCTGGTGACTATGTTATAAATGAGGGAGTAAGTCCCCCTTTTGGGTCTTTAAGGATCTCTCCAGCATGGTCGCAGAAGTGACACTGGGAGAGGCATATGAAATTAGATTTTTTTTTTTTAAAGATTTTATTTATTTATTTGACAGAGAGACAGAGCGAGAGAGGGAACACAAGCAGGGGGAGTGCGAGAGGGAGAAGCAGGCTTCCCGCTGAGCAGGGAGCCCGACGCGGGGCTCGATCCCAGGACCCCGGGATCATGACCTGAGCTGAAGGCAGACGCTTAATGACTGAGCCACCCAGGCACCCCGAAATTAGATTTATTATACTCACAAGTCCTAGAGAGGGAGGCACAGTATGCCACACAGGGGGCAGCCATACAGGAGGAGAGTCCAGGGAGCAGGCTCAACCAAGCAGGTGGGGAGCCGACAGAGCGTGGGGCCCAGTGGGCACGTGCCTTTACTGAGGGTCATGGTGGAGTATACAAGCAGAAGGCATGAGGGGACCTCGTTGTGTTAGAGTGTCACTAGGTCAGTCAGGGGAGGGCCACAAGGGGATCTCGTGGCAGGGACCAGCCTTGTCACTCCGGTGTATCAGGTCACCTGAGGAGGGTGCTCATAGCCTGTTTGTGAGGAGATGTTGAGGCACCAGGAAAATAGGAAGTTTTAAAAATTTATAATACATTGTTACCTTGATTTCTTCTGTCTCTCATCCAACCCATCAGCCTGTTTTCTTGGTGCTATACCTTAAGTCATATCCAGGATCCACCCCTTTATCAGTACTGTCAGAACCACCACCCTCTCCCCATCAGGCCACAGTACCTCTCACTTGGAGTCTTGCAGAAGCCTCTATCTGGATTTCCTGCTTCTGCCTTTATTCCCCTATATTTTATTTTCCATGCAGCAGCCCGAGTGCTGCTTTTAAAATTCGTCAAATGACGTCCATTTTCTGCTCATACCCCTCCGTTGACTTCTCTTTAGCTCAGAGTAAAATGCCAAGTCTTTCCTCTGGTCTTTGACCTTATCTACATCTACTTGCCCTACACTGGCAACCATACTGCTAGTGTACGGACTAGTGCTTCCATGCACTAAATGTGCTTCTGCCTCGGGGCCTTTGAACGTACTTAGTGCTTCTGCCTCGGGGCCTTTGAACGTACTGTCTCCCCTGTCTTTATCACTCTTCCACTGGATATCCTCATGGTTCACAGTCTCACGTTTTTCAGGTCTCTGTTTAGATGTCACCTTAGCAGGAGGCAGCCTTATATTAAATAACACCTAACCCCTTTTCCCTCTCTGTCCTCCCTTACTGACTTTATTTTCCTTTATAATACTTATTTCCAACTGGCATGTTTATTATATTTAGCTTTATATTTATAAGTTGTCTTTCCCCACTAGAATATAGTTTCGTGAGCATAGGGACTTTAACTTTCTTTTTTTAAGATTTTATTTTGAGAGAGAGAACGTGAGTAAGCAGGGGGAGGGGCTGAGGGAGAGGGAGAGAGAATCTTAAGCAGGCTCCACACACTGGGCGTGAAGCCCAACACTGGGCTTGATCCCATGACCTGAGATCATGACCTGAGCCAAAACGAAGAGTTGGATGCTCAACCGACTGAACCACCCAGGCACCCCGGGAATTTAACTTTTTCACTAATGTGTTCCCAGTACTTAGAACCTAACTTGGCACAGGGTAAGGCACTCAACAACTATTGAGGGAATGACTCAGACTAAATGTCATGAGGAAAATTAACATTCAGATAGTCACCAATAATTTATTTGCCATCATAGCATTACTGCTTTAAATTTAGGAAGCTTGGTGATTTGTTTTATAAAAATGATGGGATACCTGTGTAAAAATAGGTATTAGCCAAAAACAACTTCTTGGGGCAGAGTAATTTTGTGGATCTAGGAAGAGTATTTAAGATGGCTTTAAAAAAACTTAATTTGGTGGGCGCCTGGGTGGCTCAGTCATTAAGCATCTGCCTTCAGCTCAGGTCATGATCCCAGGGTCCTGGGATCGAGCCCCACATGGGGCTCCCTGCTCCACGGGAAGCCTGCTTCTCCCTCTCCCACTCCCCCTGCTTGTGTTCCTGCTCTTGCTGTCTCTGTCTCTGTCAAATAAATAAATAAAATCTTAAAAAAAAAAAAAAACTAATTTGGTAAATATCTGCAATAATTTAATAAGTAAACTTACTCATTTCTGTTTATACTTTTATTCTAAATGCTAGTTGTTTTTGAATGGTATTCTGCCTTAATTGGCCATTAGTAAAAGAAAATGTTTGCATTTCTGTGGCTGTGGCTTACTTTCAAATCTTGCATTTCACTGAGGGAGCCAGATTCCACATGTATTTCCAGGACCTTATTTAATTAAAAGCCTTTGTAATAAAATTAATAAGTTGCCAATTTCATAAGTATCTCTTACGTATCTTCTGCAAGCAGGTAGTGTACTGCGTGTGGTAGAATACAAAGATAGTTGCCATATACTCCTTGCTCAGCGGGGAGCCTGCTTCTCCCTCTGCCTGCCTGCTCTGCCTGCCGCTCTCCCTGCTTGTGCTCTCTCTCTGACAAATAAAATCTTTAAAAAAAAAAAAAAAAAAAACCCAAAAAATAGTTGCCATATAGTCTGAGTCTTTATGGGAGCTTGAAGTTTAATAGGAGGAAATAGATGTAATAGTGTAATAAAATGTTATATGTGCTATCATGTAAATAGATACAAAACAGCCTGGAGTGTTTGGGAAACTCCAAATAGTTCCAAGTAACTGGAACCCCTAGGGGGGTTCAGGGGAGGGTGTGGGTGAGTGAGATGAAGCGCTAGGGAAGGAAAGAGGGGCCGAGAGACAGGGATTATGAGGTAGAGAGAGGGAGGGCGTCGAACCCAGAGGCAGACTGTGGCCAGCCCCTGCAGAACAGCCATGGGGACAGTGGCATGGACTACTGAGACCCAGTTAGGTGGCTGAGGGGCTGAACTAAAGCGTGACCTTAGAAGAAAATGAGGTAAATAAACGGGAGGAGGGAGAGGAGAAAGAGCAGTCTAGGATGATTGCTAGCTTTCTAAGTTGGTGAATAATGAATTCATCAATCAAGGAGCAAAAAACACTAGATGAGAAGAGCAGGTTTCATGGGAAAGGAGTTCTGCTGTGGATATGTTGAGTTTGTGGTACCTGCAGGCAGTTACTAGCTGGTTCCCTGAAACATAATAATTATGTGTAGTGTGTATGTATGTGTTCACTGTAAGTTTTACTGATATAAAGGATGTATAGCACATAATTGACAAATGATAACATACATGATACTCTTTATTATAAATTCCATGTAGCGAGCTGATTCTCATGGAATGCTCCCATTGTTCTAGACTTTTGTATCTGTAACCAATTACATGTTGCAGTTGACAAAGGAGTGCAGTTTGGACATAAATGTTTTCTTTAAGTTAAAGAGTAAAACTAAAGAGACAACTGAGATATGTGCCAGAACTTTACTCTTAGTCAATAAAGTCAGGGACTTCTTTGGAATCAGGTAACAGGTTTTGAACAGTGGAAGAATAGTTCCTCAGTTTTTTGTACTATTCACAGTGGAATGGCTACAGACACATCGCTTTTTTCTTTTAATTTTTATTTATTTTTAATTCAAGTATTATTAACATAGTGTTACATTAGTTTCAGGTGTACAATATAGTAATTCAGCAATTCTCTACATTACTCAGTGCTTGTCAAGATAAATGTACTCGCAATCCACTTCACCTGTTTCACCCATCCCCCCACCCACCTCCCTTCTAGCCACCACCAGTTTGTTCTCTGTACTTAAGAGTCTGTTTTTTGGGGACGCCTGGGTGGCTCAGTCAGTTAAGCATCTGCCTTCAGCTCAGATCATGATCCCAGGGTACTGGGGTCGAGTCCTGCTTCGGGCTCCTTGCCTAGCAGGGAGCCTGCTTCTCCCTCTACCTGCTGCTCTCCCTGTTTATGTGTGCTCTCTCTCTCTCTCTCTCTGAAAAATAAATAAATATATAAAATTAAAAAATTATAGAGTCTGTTTTTTGGTTTATTTCATTTTTTTCATTGTTCATTTATTTTGTTTCTTAAATTCCACATATAAGTGAAATCATGTGGTATGTCTTTCTCTGAATTATTTCACTTAGCATTATACTCTCTATCTAGATCCATGCGTGTTGTTGCAAATGGCAAGAGTTCATTTTTTATGGTTGAGTAATATTCCATTGTGTGTGTATATATATATATATATACATCACATCTTTATCCATTCATCTGTTGATGAACACTTCGGTTGCTTCCATATCTTGCCTACTATAAATAATGTTGCAATAAATACAGGGTACATATATCTTTTTGAATTAGTGTTTTCATTTTCTTTGGGTACATATCCAATAGTGGAATTACTGGATCATATGGTAATTCTTTTTTTAATTTTTTGAGGAACCTCCATACTGTTTTCCACAGTGGCTACAGCAGTTTGCATTTCCACCAGCAGTGCATGAGGGTTTCCTTTTCTCCACATACTAACCAACGCTTGTTATTTCTTGTCTTTTTGGTATTAGCCATTCTAACAAGTGTAAGGTGGTATCTCACTGTGGTTTTGATTTGCATTTCCGTGATGATGAGTGATGTTGAACATGGTTTCACCTGTCTGTTGGTCATCTGTATGTCTTCTTTAGAAAAAGTCTATTCATGTCTTCTGCCCATTTTCTAATTGGATTATTTGTTTTTTTGATGTTGAGTTGTATAAGTTCTTTATATATTTTGGATATTATCTCCTTATCAGATATGTCATTTGCAAATATCTTCTCCCATTCCATAGGTTGTTTTTAGTTTTATTGATTGTTTCCTTCTCTGTGGAGAAGGTTTTTATTTTGATGTAGTCCCAGTAGTTTAATTTTGCTATTGTTTCTCTTGTCTGAGGAGACACACCTAGAAAAATGTTTCTAAAGCTGATGTCAGAGAAATTATTGCCTATATTCTCTTCTAGGAGTTTTATGGATTTAGGTCTCAGAGTTAGGTCTTTAATCCATTTTGAGTTTCTTTTCGTTTATGGTGTAAGAGAGTGGTCCCATTTCATTCTTTTGCAGGTAGCTGTCCAGTTTTCCCAACACCCTTTGTTGAAGAGACTGTCTTTTTCCCATTAGATATCCTTGCCTCCATTGTCATAGATTAATTGACCATATAATTGTGGGTTTATCTTTGGGCTGTCTATTCTGTTCCATTGATCTATGCAGACACATCCTTTTTTAAGTTTAATCTTCATTGACTTTTCCTCCAACGATTTACTTTTTTTCCCCCTCCATCTCTTAAAGTCAATAAAACCCTTATTTGTAGTGTTTGCTAGTTTCCGTAGTGTAAATATTCCCACCATGACCAACTTCAGCCAACTAATACGGCATCTCTGAACACAGACTTGGGAAAGATACGCAGTAGCACATCATTTTATTTCCACCACACAGATATAATAGGTAAATATAACCCCAAGAGCATAGATAATAGTGAAATAATTAAGAAATGATTAATTTGAGTATTTTCTTTGTTTTAAAGGAATGTGTTTCATTGTAAGTTTACATAATTTAATAAAGGCTGTTCTTAATAACCAGTCCACAGAATTCCTGAAAATTTAGCAGTTGGCTCTCATAAGCCAGTAGGAGAAGCCTTGAGAATAAATATTGTCCAGGGAGAGCAGGCAGAAAGAGTGAGAAGAGACCCAAGGGCAAAGCCCTGCTTTAAAATCTGCCCTAATGGACAGACTTGGCGAAGAAGAGCCAGTGCAGGTGACTGAGCAAGCCACATAGTGGAGGGAAGAGAGCACTGTAAGGAGACCAGCACTATGGAACCACAGATTGAAGGGCTGAAAAGTTGTCTGTGGATTTAGCAACAAATCAGTGGTTACATTGGTGGTAAACATCTCAGTATAAGTGGTGGGTGTTGAAGCTAAAATTTCTGTTTCATAAAATGAGTGGGAGATGAGAAACTAGAGCCTACAATTTTAGTTCATTCCTTTGTAGGACTTCACTAAAGGATAGGGTGGAGACAAGGAAGGGATGCTAGGTAAATAGAAATTAGTATCAGGAATTCATCTTATTTGTAACATGTAGGGAAGGAGCTACAGGTTACAGGTGAGGTGTAGGAGAGGAGAGGACCTCCTCTTGAATACGAAGACTAATCTGGAGCAAAAGGAATACCTTCTACAATAGAGGAAAGCAAATAAAGCAGATTGCAGATACAGATATGTTTTAGGTCGGGGCATGAGAAACTGACTTTACTGTAGTTTGTTTTTAATTGATATGAGCATTTGCTGGTAGCCAGGCCAAACCTACTCATACTTGCTTTAACACAGTACTACAGCAGAGGGCTTATACATCCGTCGCTTGGTGGTTGGCAACTTTCAGTTTGTCTGTTCCTCTTTTGCTAGGCTAGAAAAATAAAGTTAGAATTAATCCTAATAAATACCTGTGTCTCAAAGTAAAAGCTTTTTTTTTTTTTTTTAAAGATTTTATTTATTTATTTGAGACAGAGAGAATGAGAGAGAGAGAGCACATGAGGGGGGGGAGGGTCAGAGGCAGAAGCAGGCTCCCTGCCGAGCAGGGAGCCCGATGCGGGACTCGATCCCGGGACTCCAGGATCATGACCTGAGCCGAAGGCAGTCGCTTAACCAACTGAGCCACCCAGGCGCCCCTCAAAGTAAAAGCTTTGAAATGGGCGTGAGGAAACGTGTATGCACAAAATGAAGATCAGTATCTGATGTTAATGCCAACACATCTTTCAGTGTGCTTGTGAAGTTCATAATAGGTGCTCATGGTTGTGCCGTGCCAGTGGAAGACAGGGAGGATCCTTACTCCTGCAGACTGCTCAACATCACGAATCCGGGTGAGTCGTCTTTTTCCTCAGCCCCGTGACTCCGCGTACAAGTTTGATGCTGAGGAAAAGTTTGCTAAGCTGACTAGTCTGGTGGTCTGTTTTTTAGCAGACGACGATTGAGCTTTCATCAAAATGTATCTTTCATCCTTTTTGACAGATTGAGTGATCACTCTAGCTGTGAGGAGTCTTTTTAGATATATATAATTTCAGGATCCGGGAGAGTTTGTTCCTCGGAATGATTCACATGCATTTGGAGATCCCTTGCGCATAGATAAATCTGAATAATGGAGTTTTGAACTTTGAGATAACTGCTGATTTCACCATCTTGTCAATTTACAGTAACCTTGATACGAATATTGAGTCAACTTTCTTTTAGAATTATTGCCTATAAGCTCCTGCAAAAGAAACAATGGGAAAAAATTTTAAATATGAGTAATAGTTTGTATTCCTTTACAGTTAAAGATCTGTGGGAGTTCTGATGATGAAGAAAGATGGTCCTAATCAGGTTCCCTCTGTTACCAGGGAACCCGTTTTAGGACATTGCTAACTGTACAAGCAGATGTCTTTCTTTACCAGCATTTCCTTTTATGTTCAGCTATCGTTTTAAGGAAGACTAAAGTTTTCAAAGTCTTAAGTGTGCTGATTTTAACTTCTGGTATTTTAAGATCTGGCAGACCTTTGTAATTATGTACACTTTACTCTTACAAGCAGCAATAGTGATGTCGTTGAGAGTGTGGGCTTTGGAGTCAGGCTCCATGGCTTTATTTTTTTTTTTAATTTAAATTCAATTAGCCAACGTATAGTACATCATTAGTTTTTGCTAAAATGTTCAGTGATTCATCAGTTGCATATAACACCCAGTGCTCATCACATCACATGCCCTCATTAATGCCCATCACCGAGTTACCCCATGGCTTTAAATCTAGGCTCTGCCTTTTCTAGCTGTGTGACCGTTGATCAGTTATTCACCCCCTCTGTGCCTCAGTTTCACCATCTATAAACTGGGGATAAAAGTACTTACCTCATAGGGATTGACAGGATGAAATACATTGATACATATAAAAAATTCAGAATAGTTCCTGGGACGTGGTAGGTACTTAATATCAAAGAACCTGCCTTTTATGAAGTTCAGCTTCAATCAGCTTTCTAAATAAATTGTACCTTATTTTCAGGTCTCTACTGTGTAAAGCAGAGGTTTCTTACTTAGGATCTTTTAGTTAACATTGTAAGTAAAATTTCATGTGTAATTGCGTTTCTCCTTGTTTTTCTGTGGAGAAGGTCCGTTAGCTTGCACTGCAGTCCCAAAGGGACCATGAACCTAATAAAATGTTGTATTACTGATGATGTAAGAGTAGCCTAGAACAAATTACATTTGAAATCCAAACCAAATCAAATTTTTTTAAAATCTCACCTTAAATTAACCAGACTTTTATTATTTTAAGTGTTATTATTCATTAATAGTAAAGGAGTAGAACTGTTAATTAATAGAAAAATTTCATGTATGTAATACCTAGGTTACAAATTTTTTTAAATAGGTGTAACTAAATTTATATTGAACCTAATTTTATCTTTTTGATGACTCCAATGTCATTTTAGGTTTATTTCAATACCTTAGGGTCATCATGAGCATTAATTAATCATCATGATACTCTGGATATGTAGTTTTGATTAATAGCATTACCAAAGCAACAGGATTTCCTGTGTCTAGGTAGCTTGAAATTCAAGGTACATCTGTTCTTAATAGATAGGTAGTTAGATTATACCGTGCTTAACTTTGGCCTTTAACCCATATGCATATACTTTGAATCTTTTACATTTACTGAGTATATTAAAAAAAAAACTTTTGCTAAGTGTAAAATAGCATTCTAGGAATTCGAAGGTAGGGATCCAAATGATCCTCTGGGTATGGGAAGAAAACTGAATTTCTGTTTATCTGAAAATAAGACAGTGTTATCTTTATAAAGACTGAATATGTTGGTAACAATAATATGTGTGTCTGTTTTGTTAATAGATATATGAGTGTGTGTACAAATGCGTTTAACTGATGTGGTTGTGTGAGCAGGAAAATTGGAAAACCACAGCTCTGAAAGATACAAAGAACTTCAATAAAATCTTTTAGAATAGGTTTTTATATTATTTCACAAAGTGGCACTGATATTCTCAGCCATGTGAACTGTTTCATGTAATCGGTCCTGATTTCATTTATAGTAATTGAAAACATTATTTGCAAAGGACTGTTTCTGGCTTTGATTTAGGCAGCTGTAGGGGAGTGGAAAGAGCACTGAGTTTGAAGTCCATAAACCTGGGGTTGATTCCTGGCTCTGCCACTTCCTGTGACCTCAGGCGAGTTACTTAACATCTCCAGGCCTCAGTATCATAACCCGTGATGTCAGATAATGCCACGACCACACAGTGTAGTTGTGAAGCTGTAAATGCGATGGGGCATGGCACACAGTATGTGATCAGACATACTACTGTGTTTGATGTGCTTTTCTTTTATCAGTATTACATAGAATTTTTCAGTGTTATTGGAAGTGATTTCAAGGACTTTTGTCATGTGACATCACAAGTATTTTAAATTGCCCGACAAGAAGTAGAATTTTTGGAATTTGCAGAGCAAGACTAAACGTTCTCATTATTTATGACTGCATTAGGTACTGTTTTTAATATCCCTATTTATTGAACCTTTCCTAATAGATGCCTTTGATAATATTCCTCTATGGTGTTTAGACATATATATGCACACATGTACATACAAAAATTTTTTAAAGTAGTTCTGATAATTAAATATTTTACCTAGATACAGCTAAAAACTTCATTCTTAAGTTTCAAGATAAATTTATGTTTTTCCCTAGAAGCAGCCATATTTCTGGAGAATTTTTTTAATTACTGCCATTTGTGAAATAATTATAAGATTATATTTGTTTGGTTATGTAAAACTCCTTTTCTCATTATTTCCTTAGTTTTGAACCAGGAAATTGAGGCATTCAGTCTTCCTGAAGACACCTCATCAGGAATTTCTGAGGACCGAGTTGTCAGCGTGAGCTTCCGAGTTCTCTACCCAATCGTTATTACCAGTCTTGGGGTGTTTTATGATGCCAACGATGTGGGTTTCCAGAGGAACATCACAGTCAAGCTTTATCAGGCAGAACAAGAGGTATGCACTGTTTTATACAAGGTTTTCCCCATTTTTCTTTTTAAAAAATACCAGCTTTTTCCTCATGGCATATAGTAGATTGGGAGACTATATAATTACATCTGGTTGGAAGACTTCCACTTTTCTTCCCTTACTGATTGGATACATTATAGCATAATATATTAATATACTGGTTTGGGAAGAGAATACCAATGAAAAATAAATGTGTTATATCTAGAAAAGAAGGGATTGGGCCAGATTAGAAATTCCCAACCTAAAATTCCCTAAAGCCTAAGGAATTACAGAAGTTGATAATGAATGTAGAAACTTTGGGACTTTAAGGTATAAGCAAGTATTAGTGTCTCTTCATTCCAACCCTGAAAGTCTGTCTCTATAATACAAGGCTAACAGCTGCTTCACATGTCTTTTGTAATAAGGATGTAGAGGGAATGAAAGTTTAAAACAACTGGGGTTACTCTCTTCCTGGTATGTAGGGAAATCTGATTTATTCACAGAGTACATCTGAAGGAGTATATTAGCAAGGAATTGTATTTGAAAAGATCTGTTTGTAGAAATCTTGGAGGAATTATACAGTGAATACCCATGTAGCCACCTAATTTCCACAGTAGTTAACATTTTGCTGTATTTCAGGGCGCCTGGGTTGCTCAGTCAGTTAAGTGTCTGCCTTTGGCCCAGGTCATGATCCTGGAGTCCCAGGATCCTGCCCCACATCGGGCTCCCTGCTCAGCTGGGAGTCTGCTTTTCTCTCTGCCCCTCACCCTGCTCGTGCTCGCTGTCTCTCTCGCTCTCAAATAAATGAACTCTTTTAAAAAAAAACTTGCTTTATCATATATAAAGTTGTTCAACAATCTATCTTTTTATTTTTCCTGACTGTATTTCAGAGTCAGTTTTCAGGCATCAGGACACTTTGTCCCTAAACACTTCAGCATGCATATCATTAACTAGCCTGTTTTTTGTTTTTTGTTTTTTCCATTAACTAGACTTTAATATTTATTTGTGGTTTTTTAAATTTTATGCACAGTGAAATGTACATTAGGTCAGTTTTTTATTTATTTATTTTTTAAGTTTTTATTTATTTAATCTCTACACCCAACGTGGGGCTCGAACTCATGACTCCAGGATCAAGAGTCACATGCTCTTCTGACTGAGCCAGCCAGCTCCCCCTCAGTAAGTTTAAACTGCATAAAGCTGTGTAACCCAAACTCCTATCACCCTGTCCCACTTCTCAGAGATGGCCTTTTTTTTTCCCTCTGTTACCATAGACTGGTTTTGCCTGTTGTGATATTTAATATGTAAATAGAATCATAAAGTACTCTCCTGTGTAAGGCTTCTTTCACTCAACATGTTTTTGTAACTCATCCATGTTCTTATATGTATTCATGATTTTTTCCCTTTTCTTTTCCCTTTTTTTTTTTTTACGTAAACTATATGCCCAGTGTGGGGCTTGAACTCACAACCCTGAGATCAAGAGGGCATACTCTGCCGACTGAGACAGCCAGGTGCCGCATTCCTTTTCCTCTTTTTAATTGCTAAGCTGTATTCCAGCAATATGTTTATTCGTTCTCCTATTGCTGGGCATATAGAATGTTTCCAGGGTACTTCTCCTTTACTCTGTTAATGGGATGAATTACATTTATTGATTTTGGAATGTTAAACCAATCTCCTATTCCTTGGTCATGATGTATTATTCTTTTTTTTTTTTTTAAAGATTTTATTTATTTATTTGCCAGAGAGCAAGAGAGAGAGAGAGCACAAGCAAGGGGAAGGGCAGAGGCAGAGGGACAAACAGACCCCCCGCTGAGCAGGGAGCCTGATGTAGGGCTCAATCCCAGGACCCTGCGACCATGACCTGAGCCAAAGGCAGATACTTAACGGACTGAGCCACCCAGGCGCCCCTCTTTTATATATATATGTGTGTATATATATATATAGATGGAAATTGTGTTTCCTGAGGACAGCATATAGTTGGGTCTTCCTTTTGATCCAGTCTGAGAATCTCTACCTTTTACATGGAGTGTTTAGCCATTTACATTTAATGCAGTTATCCAGTTGTTTTTCATTTTGCTCTTTGTTTTCTGTTTGTTCTACTTTTTCCTGTTTCTCTCTTCCTCTTTTCCTGCCTTTTTTGGGTTTGAGTATTTTTTAGAATTCCGTTTTAATTTCTCTGTTGTCCTTTCAGCTACAGCTCTTTGCATTCCTCTTTTTTATGTATGGTTGACAGAAAGATTACAGTATACATCCTAAACTTGTCATTTTTCTTAAAATTAATGTTGTACCCTTTCATGTAAAATATAAGAATGGTACAGTGTTACAGCTTGTGCTTTAAACAGCTAAATACGTATTAAAGTACTTTAGAGGAAGAATCATCTTTTATGTCTGCCCACATATTTACCATTTCTGGTGCTCTTCATTCCTTCCTGAATATTCAGGTTTCCTGAAATGCTGTGTTAGCAGTCACCTAGCTCGTGGGTGACGAGGTGCATTGTTCAACGAACAGTCATATTTTGAAAGGAATCTTTTTTTTCTGAGCAGTGGTCTCAACAGTAGGCTTAAAATATTCAGTAAACCATGCGTAAGCAGATGTACTGTCATCCAGACTTTGTAGTTCCATTTATAGAGCACAGGCAGAGATTTATTGTCATTCTTAGGGTCCCTAGGATTTGTAGAATGGAAAATGAGCATTCAACCTAAAGTCACCAGCTGCATTTACCCCTAACAAGAGAGTCAGCCTGTCCTTTGAGGCTTCGAAGCCAGGCATTGACTTCTCTCTAGCTAGGAAAGTCCTGGATGGCATTTTCTTCTGATAGAAGGCTGCTTTGTCTACACGGATAACCTTACTCAAGTGTGGCCGCCTTCCTGAATTATCTCAGCTCCATCTCCTGGAGAACTTGCTACAACTTCTCCATCAGCACCTGCGGCCTCACCTGGCACTTTGATGTTAAGGAGACCGCTTCTTTCCCTACACCTCCTGCATCCACCTCTGCCGGCTTCCAACTTTTCTTCTGCAGCTTCCTTCCCTCTCTCAGCCTTCATGGAATTGTAGTTGGAGCATTGCTCTGGATTAGGCTTTGACTTAAGGGAGATGTGGCTGGTTTGACCTTCTATCCAGAGACTTTCTCCGTATAGCAAGAAGTCCGTTTCTCTTTCTTGTCCTTTGCGTGTTCACTGGAGAGGCACTTAGAGTTTCCCTCAAGAACTTTTCCTTTGCGTTCGCAAAGAGGCATAAGAGGCCCAGCTTTCAGCCTATCTCTGCTTTCAACTTGCCTTCCTCACTAAGCTTTAAAACACCAGCTTTTTTTTTTTTGTATTTAACTTTGCTTGTATTATAATTTATTTAACTCTTAAGTTTACATCCTTTAAGTTTTTTTAAAATCTAAATTCAATTAATTAACATATAATGTATTATTTGTTTCAGGGGTACAGGTCTGTGATTCATCAGTCTTGCATAATACCCAGTGCTCAGTACAACACATCCCCTCCCCAGTGTCCATCACCCAGCCACCCCATCCCTCCCACCCCCCTCCACTCCAGCAACCCTCAGTTTGTTTCCTGAGATTAAGAGTCTCTTATGGTTTGTCTCCCTCTCTGATTTCGTCTTGTTTCATTTTTCCCTCCCTTCCCCTATGATCCTCTGCCTTGTTTCTTAAATTCCGCATATCAGTGAGATCATATGATAATTGTCTTTCTTTCTTTGACTTATTTCGCTTAGCATAATACCCTCTAGTTCCATCCACCTCATTGCAAAGGACAAGATGTCATTTTTGATGGCTGCATAATATTCGATTGTATGTATATATCACATCTTCTTTATCCATTCATCTGTTGGTGGACATCTAGGCTCTTGCCGTAGTTTGGCTCTTGTGGACCACACTAGCCTTTGATTTAGAGTGAGAAACCTGCAACTCTTCCTTTCACTTGAACACTTACTGTAGGGGTATTAAGTGGCCGAATTTCAATATTGTTGTGTCTCAGGGAATAGGGGAGGCTGAGGAGAGGGAGAGGGATGAGGAAGCTCTGGTCAGTGGGTTTATCAATTAAGTTTGCCATCTTATTTGGGAGCAGTTCATGGCCCCCCCACAATTAAAGTAGTATCACAGATCACCAAAGCAAATATAATAATAATGAAAAAGTGTGAAATAGTACAAGAATTACCAAAATGTGACACAGAGACTCAACGTGAGCAGATGCTGTCGGAAGAATGTCGCCTCTGGACTTGTTCATTGAGGGGTTGCCACAAACTGTAGAAAACACAGTACTCCCCAAGGTGCAGTAAAGCCGAGTGCAGTTAACGCGGTGTGCCTACAGACATGATGGGAATCAGCCCTCTTATATGCTCCCTTCTTTGTTTCTGTGCATTTTTTCTTCTAAAGGTTCTTTCTGAAGGGGGGCTCCTGGAGTACCTTTGTTCTGTGTAGAAATATGTCATCTTTCAGTTTCTTCTTAACCCTTGGGGTTAAGCCTAATGATTCAGCTTGATTTAACACCTCACACCTCCCCTAGTGCTCCTCATTTCAAGGTAGGCTTTGGTTTTTTATAAGGTTGTGGGGATTTTATTTCATGTTTTGGAACTTTAAGACAGCTTTTGTTATCTTAAATATCTACTTAATAAACGTGATCGCACTGGAAAACGCAAATGATGTCTCAACATCATTTTTGGCCCATATTAACTCCGGTTGGGGCCATCGAGGATTAAGCTGCCCAGGATAGAAGATGTTTGAAAACTTGCCGAATACGCAATGTCTAACGTGGAGTCTGTCTTGTTTTCTTTTTCCCCCCTATTTCTTGCCCCTCCCCCCACCTCCCATTTGTAGGAGGCCCTCTTCGTGGCTCGTTTCAGCCCTCCAAGCTGTGGTGTGCAGGTGCACAAGCTGTGGTACAAGCCTGTGGAGCAGTTCATCCTGCCTGAGGTACGGGGTGTAAGGGAAGGCTGTAGTGGCCTGGCACTGTGCTCTCAAAGGCCAGCGGCTGATGCTTTGTTGTACCAGGACAGCTCTTCAGAGCGCTGGATGGGGCCGCCACTTGGTGCACAGGTTACGGAAAGGTAGCACTCTGCACCATCCCTTTTCACAGCCCGGTAACCCTCAGGGGGTCCCAAACCACACTTGCTGAAAGGCACTGCCTGGTTTATTCAGTGGATTGAGAACTGCATGACTGTTTTAGTGACGAAGGATAATAATAGGAATGGATCGATGGAAACACGAGACCCAGATACCATTTGAATGAATCAGGTCGTTTACTTATCTAAAGAGGGTGGGGGTGGTAGGGTGCAGGCAGGATAATTGCAAAGAGATTGACCACATTTCTAAGATGAATAAAACCTCTCGAGGTTGCGGAACATGTCTGAAAACACAGCTGTCACCTTCTAGGTCCAGTCTTGAGTAGACGTGTCCTAGAGATCCCCTCACCTACCTGCCAAGTGCCCGCATCAGCCTGCCGTTAAGCCGCAGGATGGTTGCAGAGGATCGTGTGGTGGGCAAGAGCGGATTACTCATCCCTCCACCTCAGCCTCTCCAGGCTAGTTCAGTCTAGTCTGAGTACATTCCTCAGTTCAGGGCTTTGGAACCACATAGGGTTCAGCTTCTCAAGCATCTTGGGGAGTCACTGTAGCTTAGCTGTGGAGTTCGTCCTGCAATGTCAAAGCTGAGCTAAATCATCATGGGAGCTAGACCATTGACGAGCTCTGCTGACGAACCAAGAAACATTTTCCCAACACTGGTCTTGTGGGTTCTGTTTGCCTTATACAACACATCTCAAAATATGCTGTGGATCTTTGGCATTCAGTACAAGTACTTGAAACTATATATGTCAATTCTGTAGATGTGAAAGGGCTCTCCTTTATTTCACCTGAACACAAACTTCTGCTTAAAAAACATTTATTTTTTTAAAGATTTTATTTATGTAGTTGAGAGAGAGAGAGAGCACGAGTGAGCACATGAGCAGGGGGAGGGGCAGAAGTATGTCCCATCAAAAGTATCTTTCACTTTTAATTAAAAGCAGTGGCTTAGCTAAGTTATATTCGCTAAGTGTTGGATCTCAGCTTTTGAAGGAAGCCATTCTTTGGTTTGTGTATTCATTTACTCAGAAAATATTTGGGAGGGGCGCCCGGGTGGCTCAGTCATTAGGCGTCTGTCTTTGGCTCAGGTCATGGTCCCAGGGTCCTGGGATCGAAACCCACATCGGGCTCCCTGCTCGGCAGGGAGTCTGCTTCTCCCTTCCCCTCTTCCCCTGCTTGTGTTCCTGCTCTCGCTCGCTCTCTCTGTCAGATAAATAAATAAATAAAATCTTTATAAAGAAAGTATTTGAGAAATTAGTGTGTGCCAAGCACCGGGGCTCTGTGAGGACACAGTACGAAGATCCCTGCCCTGAAAGCAGCTTCCGTCCTAGAGGGACAAGAGGGGCCAGCACTGAGACCGTACTTACCGTGTGCCAGGCCTGGTGTGAACGCTTTTCCTATGTTAACTAGTAGGTAAGCTCCTTGAGGCTTGAAGCAAGTCATCAATGAGACTTTCTGCTCAGAAGGAGCATGGGCAGGACCTGCGGTTCCTAGACCTCCTCCCGAAGGGAGAGTCATGTTATTCTGAGGAGCCCAGGAACACTGGCATTGTGTTAGGTGGTATCAGAGCGGTGTGAAGCCGGATGTAGAGTGCATTTGCACAGAAAAGACTTAGGATTGGCATCGGTAGGAAAGAGAAAAATGAGGCACCGGGGAGTAAGTACGTGAGGGCACGTTCGGAGCCAAGTGCCCTGAGCAGGAGCTGCGGGTGCGGCACGGGTGAGTCCGAAGCCCTGCGCTGCCGCTCGGGGTCTGTGTGGCCTCGCACAAGCCGTTCAGTCTCACCGTGTCCATCCCCTCATCTGTGAGATGGGGCTACACCACCCAGTTGAGAGGCTCATTTTAGGGACTAAATGATTTTCATACATGCAGAATGCCTAGAACATGCTGCCACATGGTAAGTATTCGGGAAATAAATGCACACTGTCCTTATTTTTGCTGCTACTCATCTGGATTTTCGGGATCCGTTCTTCAGGAGCAGAGTTTCTGCAGCTGGGGCTGTTGGCCCAGGAGGGGCATTTAGCAATGTCCAAAGGCTCGTTCAGGTGTCACAGCTCGGGGTGGAGCAGTACTGGCATCTAGAGGCCAGCGATGCTGCTGAACATCCTACAGCACACGAAAGCCCCCACAACAAAGACTTGTCTGGCTCAAATTGTCGATGGTGGCGAGGTTGAGAAACTAAGAGGAAGGAGTCACAATGAGGGGCAAAGAGGAAGAAAATTAGCTTTAAAGCTTAAGGCTAATCACAGTGTTATAGAGTCTGCCCCATTATCTTGGTCAGTCTTCTAGATAGAATTACAAATTTTTTTTAAAGATTTTATTTATTTTAGAGCACAAACAAGGGGAGCAGCAGCAGGGGGAAGGGAGAAGCAGACTCCCCGCTGAGCAGGGAGCCCGATGCAGGACTCCATCCCAGGATCCTGGGATCATGACCCGAGCCGAAGGCAGACGCTTCACTGACGGAGCCACCCAGGCGCCTCTAGAATTACAAATTTTGGGCATGCCTGGGTGGCTCCGTCGGTGAAGCGTCTGCCTTCGGCTTGGGTCATGATCCCAGGATCCTGGGATCGAGCCCCACGTCCATTTCCCTGTTCAGCGGGGAGTCTGCCAGCCTGCTTCTCCCTCTGCCCCTCCAGCTCACTCTTTCTCTCTCTCTCTCTCCCTCCCCCTCCTCTCCCCACTCATGCTCTCTCCCTCTCTCTCTCTCAAAATGAATAAAGTCTTTTAAAAAAAATTACAAATTTTGATTAATCCACAAAAATTATTACTTTCCCTTAGAACGTCCTTGTTCTTAGGAAATACATGTTTAAGTACTCAAAAGGTGACATGTCATGATACCTGCTTTGCTTTCAAGTGCTTAACCAACAAGAACAGAAAAGTACGTGTATACAGACAGAGATAAAGCAGATGTGGCTAAATGTTAACAGTTGGTGAGTCTAGGTGATTTGGGCTTAATTTCAGCTTTTCTATAGGTTTGAAGTTTTTCAAAATAACTGGGTTGAGGCAAGGACAGTGTATCTATCTAGCAGGAGGTGCTAATGATGGGACAGTGAGTGGCCGTTTCAGTTAAGATTTTTCAAGCCTAGGGCGCCTGGGTGGCTCAGTCGGTTAAGCGACTGCCTTCGGCTCAGGTCATGATCCTGGAGTCCCGGGATCGAGTCCCGCATCGGGCTCCCTACTCGGCAGGGAGTCTGCTTCTCCCTCTGACCCTCCCCCCTCTCATGTGCTCGCTCTCTCTCTCATTCTGTCTCAAATAAATAAATAAATAAATAAATAAAATCATTAAAAAAAAAAAGATTTTTCAAGCCTACAGCCTTGTGAGCTTTATTTCACTTTAAACTTTAAGCTAAATTGGCTTTTTATTTTTCATTACTTCTGAGTCGTATTTTTTCCTTTTAAAAATGTGCCATTATTTAACAGTGGCTATACCCGGGGGTGAGGAGGTAGGATTATGGATGATTTTTATTTGCTGCCTTTTGTGCATTTCCCAAGTGTTCTGTAATAAATATATATTAGCTTTATAAAAACAAAAAACTCTTTAAAAAAAGGCCATCCTTTTACCCAAAATCTTATTTTTGTTGCAACCGTGTTTGATTGTACAGAGATACTCATTTTTGCTGCTTCAAGCCTGATTGGGTTTTATTAGCACAGAAAAAGTGATAGTGGGTGAATGGTTTGCCTGCGTATCATCAGCAAAGAATGACAGAAGACAAACATCGTTTATGCCATTTTTTAAGAGAGCAGCAGGTGATTTCTTCGTCGTCTTCTTCGCTCCGTGCCTCACGGCCTGCTGGAGTAACATGTCAGCGGATAGCTTGTCACGCAAGCAAGCCTCTCACAGTGTTTTCATCGTGTGACTCACTAAAGCATAAATCTCAGTGGGAGTCACAAATTTAAATGGAGACTGCTGTGCGCTTCTCTTAAAATATTTATTTCTCTAATTTTGTACTTTCCTTACTAGTGCAGTTGAAACCTGAAACCAGTTTCAGTAAAAAGACTATTTGTGTTCACCTGAGTCACTAGAGACACCACTCTTAGCTGTGCGGGTACTTACATACTCACTGTTCGTGACAGTCGGAACTCTTCAGGTGTAGTCATTTCCCCAAGCCATAAAAAATTGTTAAATCCAAAAATAGTATAGATTTAAGCTACTCTGCTGGTTTGGATGAGAAGTTAGAAACATGACACAGAGGAATTAACACGTGAAAGGGGTTGCAGAGAGCATGCTCACGTTACGGGTGAGATCATTTATGAGATCTCCTTTTTCCAGCCCACACCACGATGTGTTTCTTAGCTTCTGTTTTGGTTTTATGGTCTTAGCAGGGAATTGCCACAGACCAGTTGTTTCTCATCTGAAGAGATCCCTAGCTTTGTGATGACTTTGTATCAGAGGGTAGAAGGCAGGCCTGTGAGAGAAGTGAGAAACAGAGATTCAGCTGTGACACGGAGCAGGCGCAGATAAAGGCGGGGTGGACACAGTTCCTTCCTTCCCTAAGCCCCGCTGGCTTACAGAAGTGCAGTGAAGAAACCAGGATCGTTCTGGGGGCCAATGAGTTTTTCCGGCAGTTACTCACTTTAGTCCACATTATTGATGTTGTATCATATCCCAGTCACAAAGTAACTGTGGTTGGACCCCAGCAGGAGCCACCATGAAATAGGGTAAATGCCAAGTGTCAGTTGAATGGACAGGACAGAGAATTACTTGTTTTGTCATCATATTTTCTAGATTCATAGTTTCAAGGCGAAGCATTTTTATTTGGTCATGATAGCTTTTACTTTTGGTATGGTTCATCTGAAACTGCAGTCACTAAGATTGCAGTGACCCAACTGCCAACTCCAGGGGACACTTTTTGT